GCTCTCGCTCTCCGTGTCGCTCTCCGTGGAGTCGGGGTCTTTCTCCGGCACCCGCAGCGTCCCCAATATCATCTTCGTGTGCATCCCCACGCCGCCGCTCCGGCTCCGCGCGTCATGCATCTCGAGCTTCGTGTCCCCGCCGAGCAGTGCGCTGATCTTCCCCCACTGCGCGCGTCGGCAGAAGACCGTCCCCGCGCCGGCCTCGCCCATGGTGGTACCGCGCACAGTGTCGAGTGTCGGGAAGAGCACGCGGAGAGGCCCGCGCTGAGGCGGCGTCTGTATGTAGTCTCGTGAGCGGTACGATAGGCAGGAGTGTGCGCGGGTACACACCTTCTTCCTCCCTCGATCGAGCCACGCCTGAAGAGCGTGCGAGCGACCCGCGGCGCAGAGCCGGAAGATGGCGAGCCAGGGGGGAGTGTAGGTGCCGATAGAGGAAGTCTGCTGGGTGGTTAGCAAGCGAAATACGGGAATGAAGGATTACAAGGGGAAAGGGGGGCAGAGAGCAGCAGGGGGGCGGGGAGCTTATGAACATGAGTTGGGGTACAGAGGTAGCACGACACCTTATAAGACGAAGACAGAGGAAGAGACGCACCAAACAGTCTAGCTCAAGCTCTTGCCCCTGTCCCTTCGCACCTGCCTTTCCCTTCATGTCGTGGAGCCCGCACCCGAGTGTCTGCACGGCGCGCATGAGGCGCGTCTGCCCAGTCCTGCCAATGAGTGTCTGTCAGTACAAGGAAGACGGGGACGAAAAGAAAACATGGGAAGGAGATAAAATTGGGGTGAGATAGTGATGGGTACGAGACGATGAAGGCACCATCGTCGCTGCGGAAACGCACAACAGTGTCCAAAGAAGCGACACACGCTTCAGTCGTGCGTCTACGCGACCGCCATCTTAATAACCGCGAGCGCACCAGCCAAAACAAGGAACACGAAAACGTTAAACGCACCCGACCACTGCCCTCGTACCAGCCCACCCCTCCCAGCGCCCCGCGACGGACGGCACCAGCGCCGCACGGGTACTCGTCCAGTCCCAGCCGGTCTCGAGGAGTGACTTCGTTTTGGAGGAGGTAGCTACCGTGGGGAGCGGCAGGGACGTGTGCTGGGCTGGGGGTCAGCAGGTGGATAAGGATGAATGGGGAAGGGTGGAGGGGTAAGCAGGAAAAGGAGTGGAGGCTGGCAGTGGGGTCCGGTAGGGGTCCGGTAGGCATTGGGAAGCAGAGATAGAGTGTAGAGGGTGCGATCGAAGCAAAGGGCATCCGAAGAGTGAGACTCACTCCTTGGCGGGCCATGATTGTTAGCGCCTCCTCCACGCCTGTCGCGCGGAGCGTTCCCGCGAGCACCGCCGGAAACGTCTCGCCCGGCTTCTCTCCCGAGCGTAAGCGCACAGTCTCCGCGCCCGGCAGTGCGCGTGGTACATCTTGGATATAGAGGTACTACCGCTGCTGTCAGTATCCGCATTATCACAACGAGAACACCCACATTCTCCACATCACGCCAGTCGTGCGGGACGAGATTCGCAGTGCCCACGACGACGCGCAGGGCGCCGCTCTTGCTGAAGAGCAGCATATACTTCATGTGCATGCACCCGCGCCCGTCGGTCAGCGGCGGGCACACGCGCACCCAGTTTGGGAAGACGTTCTTCAGTGTCGGGCTGTGCACTACTTTAGTGGACGCTGAGGAAGAAACAGACAGGGAAAGCGTACCGGTTTCCAAAGGCGTCGCCGCCGCCCACGGAATTCGGGTCCGTGACGAGAATGACGGGCGTGCCAGGGTCAAAGAAACTGTATATCCACGCGGGGTCGACGACGAACGCCGAGAGAATTACGAAGGCGAGATCGTCGCGCGGGCCGAGGACCTCACTGAGCCGGATCCCCACCGTCTCTGCGTGTTGGGCGTGCTGCGTCTCCACGCGCAGCACCGCGCCGGCGGGAAACGATCGCCGCCCGTTCGCGCCGTTCGCCACTGGATTCATCTTTGCTGTGGAATCGAGCCGCGCGCGCTTGCGTGCACTCCCCTCGCTGCTACTCCCGTCGTCGTCATCATCATCTTCGTCGCCGCTGGATGCGGGTGGCGGCGGCGACGGCCCACGGAGGCGCTTCTGCCGCGCGAGGCGCTCCCGCTCCATCTGCGCGCGGTCGCCCAGCTGCGACAACGGTCCCGCGCCAGCAACGACCTGAGATGCTTGCGGCGCCTGCTGCTCCGCGTCACTCTTCCCAGTCGGCACTGCGGGTGCTTTGCTCGTCGAGGCTTTATTAGGCGGTGGCACCTCGACGACGTCCTCCTCGTCGCTGCTGATGACGAAAACCTCTTGCTTTAGCGCCTTCTTCACCGGAGGTGCCTCGCGCCTCTTGGAAGGCGCTTTCTTCGTCGACCGACTGTTGCTCGCGCCTCCCGCCTCCTTCAAACTCAGTGCAATCGCTCGCGCAAGGTCCGCATCGCCGTCCGAGTCCATAGAGCGCGCGACTGTTCGCTGATTATATTTGTCTCCGTACGTCTCGAGTTAATGGGATTGGGTTTTGGTCCAAGATCATATAGCGCTGCCTTGTGGCGTTTCCAAGAGTTATCAGATCCCAAGATCGTCAGTCCTTCAGATAAGTTTCTGGCTGGTCACTCCCGCCTGTGCTTCTAGAGTCGCCCAAGTGCGTAATGTGCTGATAGTGTGGCAAGAGGACAACAAGAGGAGGATTCAAGGAACGATCCCGTGACACCGGCTGACGCGTATCCTTGTTTCAACAGGAATCAACAAACCGCACCGCCTCATCTTTGTTGTTTCTTTCCTTCATGATCATCGGGCGATATTTGACCTGCGGCTCAATAACCAACTTCCAACAAAGGCAAATTCCCTAAAACTGTAAGAGAGTGGGGGCTGGTTACCTCGTGTCGTTGGTTCTACACACGTTCGGTCAGGTTGACCAACCAAGTTCATGTTCAACTGACCCCGAAATTAAAGACCCTCAATGAACTGCGTGGACGGCCGCCGATAGGCCTCTCTCTAGTCGATATTTCAGCCTGTTCTGACAGATGACTTGGTGTGCATTGTCAGACTTGGACTTCCAACCAACGAAAACACTCCTCGGTGGCAAACACTCTGCGATACAACCACGCCTGTCTCACTGGGAATGATTTGGTGCGACATTGCCCATCGATAACCTCGAAACGGAATAATTCCATACAAGGTCCCGATCTTGATCTAACGTACATTCGTTCTTCTCTTTGCGCGATCGGTCTCGCCCAGGAGCTTGGCCGGGATCGTCCCGTATCCTTCGAGTTCTTCCCCGGCGATCCGTATAGTACGTCATGCGCCCTACTTTCGTGCTCTTTCGTGCTACTGACCTTGGAGGATTCTTCTCCCCGTCCGGACTCCGTAATCAGCGTCGGCGCCATGATTGATCATTCCAGCCATGTAGACGGTGAAAACGTTCCAGTGGGCGTCAGTGCCCAGCTGGGGCATGGACTCCATCTCTCGCGCCCGATGCGCCCTCAATCGATCGTGATCGCGATCCGATAATGCTATCCTGATTCTTGTCCCGATTCCCCGCATTTACGGAGTCGTGCGTGGGAGGCTCGGCCCCGTACTATCTTGAGTGTGGGGGTGATCCGTTCAATCATTCCCGCCGTTAAGACGCTTATACTCTGTCCTGGAGCCTTTCCGGGACGCCACTCCCGGTACACGGTGGTGTGTCTCGATGTGCCTTCCGGGGTTTGTTCGCACACGCCGCCTATCGCCCCTTGAAATCGCAGACCCGGAGACAGTTGACTGTGTCGCAACCGTGCTGTTGTATACACGTTCGTCCCAGTAGGTGACAGACGGATATCCGAAATCCTCCCGCCGCCGTTTTTTTTCGCCTGGACTGACATGACATTGGTGAGGAAGCGCCGCGGATGGCTTATGCCGGACTCCGAGCGACAACACCAACTATAGCGCAACAGCTTCCTTCTGCTTCGTCGACACGGATGCAGCCGAGGCTAGCCCTCTGGAGTAGTCGGAAGCTCAACCACGGTGCTGTTGACGCCACACCACGCCGTTGCCTGCAACTGGGCCTAGGGTTTCTGCGATTCGTTACGAGGGGATGTTGCAGTACTATAGGAAGAACTCTCATCGACACTACGCAAAATTAAAAGATGCTATCTATGTCTTCTCACGCTGACTCAACTGGGGTCGCTCAACGTCTATTCTAGGGGGCCGGAGATACCACGGTAGGTCCCTAGTTCTATCTCTATTCACCCGGGACAAATGACAGAAGAAACTCTCAACAGAATCATGATTCCGAGCGCAAAAGAAGGACCGGACCGCCAGGATTTCTATGGCGGCACTGCTCAAGTAGTTCCGAGAAATAAAAATACGTGACTGCCGAGATTTTCTCAGGACCGCGGAACGTATGTTACGCACCAATGGTGTACTTTACCTGAGATAATTCTGTACAACCCAGCGCCGGTCGACTTGCTCCGCAGCCGTAATGGTGACTGAACACAACTGCGAGAAAATAAAAATACTCGGCCTGCCGGGATTCTCTCAGGACCACGGAACGTATGTTCGGGCCGAGGGGAACTTTCCCTGATATAATTCTGTACACCCAGCGCCGGCCAACTAACTTGCTCTACAGCTGTAATGGTGATTCAACACAACTGCGAGAAAATAAAAATACTTGACCTGCCGAGATTTTCTCAGAACTGCGGAACGTATATTCGGAGGTTTGACGCGTCGCAGCGGTACTTTGCCTGAGATAAATCCGTACACCCCGCGCTGGCTCAACTCGCCTGAACTACAGCCGTGATGATTCAACATAACTGCGGCCGTTCATCGGACAAAGTTGGAATAATTCCTTGGCTCCTGCGCTTGTTTGTCATTGTTGTCCAGGTGTTCAACTCAACTTAAACTTCAACCCAGCCTTGTCGTGTGCATATGTACGGCTTGCTACGTCTCATGGGGGATCGTTGGGACGTTGTCTGCCTATCAGAGGCTGTATGCATGTGTTCCAAAAGCAAGCTTCCATTGCATCGGGCAAATAGTGTAGTTGGTTATCGCGCCCGCTTCGCACCATAGATCATGTGATTCGTCACGTGATTGCTATGCGGGAGGTGCTGGGTTCAATTCCCAGTTTGTCCAAAGCCGTCCTTTTTGCTGCAGGTCCAGAGCATCCTTCCTTAAGGCCCAGAACGATCTGCATCCCGAAATCTTTTATCCCCGTTGAGTTGCTCAAAAATTCGCATTTGTACAAGTCTTCCGGGCTCCTAGGTATCCGGAGGATGATGGGGGACATCCAAAGTACCCCCCCTAATATTTTCAGAATTTTAGGATAAGAGGGAGGCGAGGGGGAGGGTTGAACATTGTGCCATCAATCTTGGTTAAAGCAAAATGATGGAATCAGTGAAATGACCGGATTTGGTCAATGTCCGAAAAACCTGTTTTGTTGCACAATTGGAACTGGCACTATATAATGTTCAATTTGACAGTCACCCATCAGTGGGGAAGTCTGTCAATTACGAACTTCGGTGGATGTCTGTCACCCATCTCCATGGCCAGCATTGAACTGGTTTCTTGGTTCGAAACATTGTCCAAAGTTGTGAATCCTATATTGCTTTCATAAATATAGGATTCACAACTTTGGACAATGTTTCGAACCAAGAAACCAGTTCAATGCTGGCCTTAGAGATGGGCGACAGACATCCACCAAAGTTCATAATCGACAGACTTCCCGGTGACGGGTGACTGTCGAATTGAACATTATAGTACAGCACTAGTTTACTGTGTAGGACATGGTAACTTATGTACAAAGCACCTGCTGGCAAGTTTTGGAGCAGGGGTGCCAGAATTGAAATCATTGTGGACAAGGACATGGTGAAAAGAAAAAAGACGGGAATCACCAACACTACAGCTGTCCAGTATTTTTTCGGCGAAAATTTCATTCGGGGACCAAAACGGAAATTCAGGGAAGTCTTTGACTGCGTATTTCACTACGAGTAGAATGCAGGTGTTCTGCCAACATTTGCCAAAAGCAGGAAAAATTTATCCACGCCTCAAGTTCTGCAAAGAGATGTAATGCATGTGCTCAGCCAGCAGGGGACTCACCCAAAAAGCCCGTCTTGGTTAGCTGTGCCACTGGGTGCAGAGCACATGCATTGAACACATCTGAAAGCCAGGTGCATTGATCTTTGCCCCAGTGTTACTCCAAGGCCTTAGGCCTCAGAGAGACAGAAAGTCCGGGTGATAGCAGGCAGGTTGCTGGTTAATCCTCATGGTGAGACCACCTTGATTCTGAGGGCAACCCTGGCTGCAATACTTATTCAACCAGTTTGGATCAACAGTAACTCGGGGCACGCATGCGAGAATAACTTCGAAATCTGTATGTAGGTAAAAATACTACTAAAACCAGAAATGGAATGAGAAGTTGAATGGCCGGTCCAGGTACCCAGACTAGGACCCCTGAGAATACTGCAACAAGGTAGGATTCCAGATTTCGAATTTTGGAATTTCTGTCCGGACTATGCAAGTGAACGAGGTCAATAATTTTGTCCGGACTGTACCTCACACCATTGAAAATTTCGGATTTTTTGTCCGGACTACACCTCAAAGGTCAAAAAAAAATTGCAAAAAATCCTATAAATTCCCCCAAAAAATCGGCAAAATTCCTAAGGCCCGTCTACAATGCTAGATCAACACCATCCTCCTCCTCGATGTCCAGTAGATTAATATTACCCTTCCCCCTCTGTTGAACAGTATTCAAGCTTGTGACCATCTGCACCAGCTCTGAATGCTCGGCGCAGCATCTGGTAAACAGGATTGCCATCTTCCCTGACACTTCTGCCATCATATGATTTATATGAGTGAGATTAGAAAAGGTGGTTTGGAAAATGAATAATATTCTGTGCCACTTAGTGGCCAATACCCTCGCGCTAATAACCGATCAGGACAGACAATGGATTTCTGGGCCACTCACTTGGCCCGTAATCGCGTAGTGGTTTTGATTGCAAGGTAGGTAATATATAGATATCAAGTTGACTCAAGTCGAACAATGGCCATCAGAAATTTTGTCCGGACTCCGTATCCAACCTACCTGCGCCCAAAATTTTCCGTCCGGACTAAGAATCCGAGGTCGGGACGGTCCGGATCAATTTTGTCCGGACTAGTATCACAGCTTGGATCAATTTTCATTTTTTTTGTCCGGACTCTTGAATCCTACCTTGTTGCGGTATTCTCAGGGGTCCTCCCAGACTACAATCGGGGGAAGTACCAGCATGGGTTCAAGCTCAAAAAAAAGCATCATCGAGAAGCCCAGTGATCTTCACCTTAAAAGACTTTCTTGACTTCAACTACTAGTAGCGGTCACCGGTGTGATTGGACCCGGAGCACTGAGTGCGAAAACCAGCTGATACAGAGTCCAGCAATTAAAAGATGCCAAGATGGGGCCCCTGGTTCAACTGGAACCGAATTTCGGCATGTTGACAAGTTGGACTCGGAGGCCGGGCCTTGGTGCCGTGGTTGGAAATTTACCGTCGGGTATCGTTGCAACTCTCGGGGGACTACATACACATCGCATCAGCAGCAAGTCCTTCTCAGAAGGTGAACGTGACCACGAACGTGATGAAAATCCGCCCTGCGGCGGGGGTCGGCGCGGGGTCCGGAGGGAGCTGTATCAATCAGCCTAGCCTGAAATGTCGTGTAATTAGGGTTGTATAGGCTATTCCTAGCGGGGATAAATAAGGTGATGGGAGAGTCGATGCGAACCTGAATTTGAACCTGAATTGATGTAGTGAGCCATGGTAGCTGTCAGGTTTTTGTTTTTACACTGCAATACTGATATTTATTGAGATACTGACAAGTTGAACTTGAACTTGAAGCTGGGCAATGTGGATCCATGCCAGTGGTGATGCCGGACCGTTCACAAACTTCTCGCGCCGGGCATGCGCGATTCGCGTGGGGCTCCAGTGAGTATTTGTATTCCTCTAGATCTGTTGGTGTCATGTCAACTCAAGTTGACAGGATTTAAATCGTGAATATTCAAACGACGGAAAATCCCAGCATCCCAGCGAAACTGAACCTCTTGGTCTTGCTTCAATTACACACCTCACCTCACGATCGCGTCTGAAAGCGCAACCTCGTCGTCATTGGGCAGCGAATACCAATATATATCAGGGAGGAATTCCGCGTGGACGGGTGCCGCTGGAGAGACGAGGGACACTAACATGAATACAGTTTTACAGTGCCGTACGGACGCCGACGCGTTCTTGAAAAAAAAATCGATACCTATAATATTGGACCCTATCCGCTGATTTGCTCTACCACGTCTGGCTCTGGCCCTAAGCCGCCCTCGAATCTATTTCGAACCGGGACGGAGGGTTCGGCTTGCAGCATTTTTTTTGCGCCCCCGGGCCAGAAACCCCCCAATATCAATATGCCGCAGGCACCCACCCCCGGTGCGCGTACACATTGACACAGCATGCTTCAATTCAAACGACGGCATGCCGTTCACAGCCCTGTAGTGGTTCATTTTTTTTTCTTTGTGCATGCATGTTCTTCTCTATGATCGCGATTTGAGGCTGCTCGCAGAGCTATATAGCGGACGTAGGAATGATTTGGGCCGCGGTTGACTCTATATATCCTACTCTATTCACAGGCATCTAGGTGGTGTCCGGCCCTGCATGGCGTGTTGAACTTGTGTGGAGTAACCCGACTGGAGTGGTTCAACCTTCAACTTTTCCCTGCCCGCAAATACAGTGTATTTCGTTTGCAGCACCCCGACGTGAGCATCGCACTATCAACTTTTCTCTAATTGAATTATCACGAAGTTGCAGTTGAGCCCCCTATTCCCTATTAGTTCCCAACCAAATTCGGCGATTCCCACCCCGCCCTAACCCAACTGCGTCTTTCTCTCATGATGCGCCTAGATTCTAGCGTACTTCCCGTAAGGCTGGGCGCTGGCGCTTCCCCGACGTCGAGCGAACCGAAGATGGATGAACGTGGGGATGGTGAGTTAGGCGAGGGAAGCGCACGGGTGAGTTCGAATATGCACACGGGCGGGCGCGGTCGGCGTTCGGTTCCTCGACGCACACGTACGCAGTTGGAATCGTGAACGAGCTCGTGAGGGGTGGGGTGGAGTGCTCGAGCCTCGCACCCCAAGTCCAGCTCCAGCTCCAGCTCCACTTCCAAGTCCGAGTCACGACGCACGAAAGATTCAAAGAAAAGAAGGCAGGTGGGAACGCCAACGTTCGACATGTGGAGCGTTATGAAAGAAAGAAGGAAGGAGTTCACGTCGGCTAGGAATAGCTTGGACGCGAGGCGCGACTCTGTCTAGGCTTTAAGACCTGGGCAAGGGGAGGGGAAGGGGGAAGGGGGGATGGGAAAGGAGGAGGCGAGCTCGAGGCATTTGGTGGCGCTCGCGTAGGCGTCGCGCACACACGGCGTAGGCGAGGCGAGGTGGGGAGGACAACCGCGCACCACTGGCGTTAATGCATTAATCAACGCCGGGTGATCGAAGGAGTTCTTAAGTCCTGCCTGCCTGTCGTGTTGCAACTTGTTACGAGTCCGTGGCCAAGCCGGCCTGAGCCGACGTCGACGCTGATATATATCGTGCGTTGTTGTTCTCGTCGTCGTCCTCCGAGTCCCAGGGTGTTCTCCGAGTCGTTAATCTCGTTGGCGTTGGCGTTGGCGTTTTCCTTGGCGTTCTCGTTGTTCCTAGGCCTCAGGCTCCACGCCGGCGCCTAGTATAGGCTTGCGACGGACATCGACGCCAACGGCTATGTACGGACTCTGCGGTAGAGCGGGGATTACCGCCGGCCGAGCTACCAGATTGATCTCAAGAATGGTCGGCAGTGACAGACCTGAGAGTCAGGTCGTCGTCGTCCCAGCGTGTTCTCGTTAATGTCGTTCTCGTTGTCCTCGTTGTCCCTCCACGCTCCACGCCGACGGAAATCACGGCTATACATATGCGAACGCCGAGCGCCGAGAGTGTAGAGCGTAGAGCGGGGATTGCTGATGCCGGCCGAGCCAAGTTAAATTGACGGCGGGAGATAACATAGCTCGCCTAGATTGCACTAGTGTAAAGATAAAGATAATCTCGGACGCGTCGCGTATCGCATTACGCGTTTCTCGATCGTGATCGTGTTGCG